CACACACACACACACACACACACACACACACACACACACACACACACACACACACACACACAAAACAGACAATGAAAACCCTTCCAACATTCTACCACTTCACACAGATTCTGCAAACGAAGCAGGCGGTGTCCTCGCCTCTGACGGCTCCACGACAGCCACATTCTCAGCTCCAACCAGCCTTTTCATGCGGGCACCCATGGTGATGCCTCCACTTCCTCCTCCCAGGACCAGCATCTTGTAGTGCTGCTTGGCCAAGGCCCGGCTTCTGGTATGCAGGTGGGAGACGGCGACAATGCCCGCTGGGTGGCACTGCCTTAGACGTCGCAAGGAAGCCATCCTGCGTCTGAACCTGCAGGATGAGGCGGTTCTGGTTAGCCACAACGCACTCGGGCCTCAAACATGTCGTTTTGCAACAAATTCTCACTTCCTGTTTTGCTGCTGCTTGTCCAGATTTGATTGATTGACTGATTATTATTTATTTCAAGTTGGTCAAAACAAATTTCACTCAGTGTCGGGAACTAGTTTAGTCAGTCTCTGGACTAGGCACAAATAAAACAAGCAGCATTTCAGTCAGCTAAACATGTTTCTTTCCCTCTATCTGATCAGTTGATTGATGATCAATGATTGTTGATTTTGCTGCTTGTGGCTTTACTAACCACAGCTAATGTAGCTAATATATAGTGAAACCACAACCATAACAAAAACATGACAGGATACGCAAAATGCAAAACAACAAGAGTGCATTTATTCTGTTATTTTAAAACCAATTATGCAATTGAAATGACTCCTTTTCAATAACGACGTTGAAATGTAATACAGTGTAAACATACCCTGTGGCCTAGTTTAGCGGAGCCTCCTCTGTTGGAACACAAACAGCTAAACATGTAAGATTAATGTTAGGGTGAAATGTGTAAAGCCTGATCTGAACTGACCCCGTCTCTGCTGCATACTGAGCAGTCAGCTGCTGATATAACAACCCTTCCTGCACACACCGGAAGACACTTTGATCGGGAACATAAACGTATTTACCTCGTACAGCAATGACGTCAAAATTTACCTCCAAGAAACTCCTCGGAAAGGAATTTATTTCTGTTTAAATCCCAGTTTAAATTACGCGTATTTCCTCCTCAGAGAACCCACTCCGCCCAGAATTAGCTCCGTACCTCAAAGCGAAGCGATACTGACAAAATACTCGCAGGCTCCGCCCCTTCCTTAAACAGGCAGTGCTCGTATCCAATAAATCATCAGAATCTAGAATTTAGCCCCGCCTCTTTCAAGTCTTGAAGGATCGAAAAGTTGTATCGCCGCGCGAGTCTAAAATTCTTTGTCGAGTCGAGGCAATTTCTTTCTTGTTTCGTATCAACGTCAGAATATTCGTATTTGGAGAGTATTTACGATATTTTATGTGGATTTCTGTGAGCGGGGAAATGATAGTTACACTGCCGAAACTGTCCTGAGAGCAAAATACAAATTGGAGCGTTTGGAACGTGACAGCAGCACTTAGACGGAGCCCAAACATTAGATAACTTCCTAAATAAATGTGGAGCAGGACAGTTAAGGTCTGCTGTACAAACACAAGCTTGTTTACTACAAATCAACACACGCTGTACAAGCAGTAGATTGCTGTTTTCACATGTAAGCCACAATAACTCAACATTTTGTCTGGCTTAATCATGTTTTCAGTTAAAAGATGTTTGCCTTCTTAATGTAGCACCAAATGCCTGCACAGAGATGTTCTATAGTTAATCAAAACAGAAGTAAAAGAAGTTATAGCAGCTCAACGGTGTGTCGTAACACAATTAGCACACAGTTCATCATCACCATGACTCAGCTCGACTGCTATCATCAGCTCGACTGGTTTTTGCTGCTCCCTTTATCACAAACTGTCTGTTTTCTGAGATTTACAGATCATTACAATGTAAACGAGGCCTTTCGTTTCATTTACAGTAAATTTGTTTTTGCCTGATATCCCACCTCAGAGGTGTGCCTTCTAATAAACTTGGATGACACAAACAGCTGGCAGATTGTGAGGCTGTGTTACCTGAAGAAGAAAAAAAATGTTGTTCTGTTAAATAACATCCGGGATGGTTTAATATTCCCTACAGGCACCTGTGTGTGTATTTTTACACCAGAAACAGCATGGCTTGAACACACTATATCACAGTCAATCCTCTACTTGAGGAAACAATAAAAATAAATACATAAACAACAAGACAGCTTAAAAATAAGTTTGCATCTTATAAAAATGGTTTATTTGGTGGTTTATTGGTTTATTTCTGACATGGCCATGTTCGTGTTTTATAACAGGTCTGAAGGGTTGAGGTCAAAGACAGACTGGCAGCACCCAGAGGAGCAGAACCGGATCTGTAAGTGTTATAACACAACACACGCCTCCATTTTCTATGTGCAGGTAGACTCTATAGAGAAGACTGGATAATGGAACTGATCCTGGTGACAAGCAAGAGTGTCATTCTTTGTTTTTTGAGCAGTTTTTTTTTTTTTGCACTGGTTATAACTCCTGTTTAGCTTTTTATGTTTTATAGCAATGATCAGCTCATATAAATAACAAGCCTTGTTCGTGGCTGTAATTTGCTAAATAAACTCTCATTGCTTCAACAAACAGTTGATAACTGATGTTATCCATCCATCCATCCATCCATCCATCCATCCATCCATCCATCCATCCATSCATSCATCMWYCMTCCAWCCAWCCATCCATCCATCCATTTTCKTCCGCCTATCCGGGGTCGGGTCGTGGGGGCAGCAGCTTCAGAAGGGAGGCCCAGACCTCCCTCTCCCCAGCCACTTCTTCCAGCTCCTCCGGGGGAACTCCAAGGCGTTCCCAGGCCAGCCGAGAGACATAGTCCCTCCAGCGTGTCCAGGGTCTTCCTCGGGGCCTCCTCCCGGTGGGACGTGCCCGGAACACCTCACCAGGGAGGCGTCCTGGAGGCATCCTAACCAGATGCCTGAGCCACCTCAACTGGCTCCTCTCGACGTGGAGGAGCAGCGGCTCTACTCTGAGTCCCTCCCGGATGACCGAGCTTCTCACCCTATCTCTAAGGGAGAGTCCAGCCACCCTGTGGAGGAAACCCATTTTGGCCACTTGTATCCGGGACCTCGTTCTTTCGGTCATGACCTAAAGCTCATGACCATAGATGAGGGTAGGAACGTAGATCGACCGGTAAATCGAGAGCTTCACTTTCTGACTCAGCTCTCTCTTCACCACGACGGACCGGTACAGCGCCCGCTTTACAGCAGACGCTGCGCCAATCCGCCTGTCGATCTCCCGCTCCCTTCTTCCCCCATTCGTGAACAAGATCCCCAGATACTTAAACTCCTCCACTTGAGACAGGGCGACCCCCCTGACCCGGAGAAGGCACTCTGCCCTTTTCCGGCTCAAGACCATGGCCTTGGATTTGGAGGCACTGAGCCTCATCCCGGCCGCTTCGCACCTGGCCGCGAACCGCTCCAGCGAGAGCTGCAGATCTTGTTCCGATGAAGCCAACAGGACCACATCATCCGCAAAAAGCAGAGATGCGATCCTAAGGCCACCAAAATGGATCCCCTCAACACCTCGGCTGCACCTAGATGGATTTAACTGATGTTAAAGTTACTTAATTAAGCATAAAAATGATTTGTTGATTGCTAACAGAGAAATAGTGGAGGTGGTTCTGATTGAACTTCTAAATAAAGCACTGATTGAGCTGTAATTTTAAAGCAAAGTTAGCTAAATATAACGTGATGCAGCTGTAAACCAATGCTGCATTTGCCATCTCTACAGGTAACTATCAACACATTTCACAATAAATCACACGCATTTAATTCCATTTACAGCCAAAATGATGAGCTTATCATATTTCCATAAATGAATGTTTTCTTTTTGTGTTTTAGGGTTTGAGATGTCCCAGGTGTTGTGATGAGCGCTGAGTTGATGGCAGAAACGTGAGGAGCGATGACACGAGGAGGCACAGAGCAGAGGAATGACTGGCAGGTTTTTTTTTTTCACGCATCACACCAACCTAGCAGCCACTTCAGATCAATTCAATTCAATTAATTAAATTCAATTATTGTGTTTATTTCATTCATAAAACAATAAAAATAATCTACAAAAACAAGTCATACAAAAATCAAAAAACAAACAAAAAATACAGTAAAATCATGAATGAAAAAAAAGTATAGCAGAAAGAAGTATAAACTTATAATATCTGCCCCTATTCACTAAAAAAATAAAATCAATTCCAAACAAGTCCACTGTCAGCATACAGGAAAAAAAAGAAAAACAAAAGACCACCCTGAACACAAAAATACAAACAGAACATCACCTTAATCAGTATTATAACGCTTCAACATAATAATTTTCAAGTTGTTTTTAAACACAAATAAAGATTTAGACTGTTTCACCTCACTATCAAGACCATTCCACAATCTAACACCTAAAATACATCTTTCCATCAGCACAGTTCTGAAGTTAATTTTTTTAAAGATCTCAATACCTTTTAAATTATATTCACTTTCCCTTTTAATAAATCTGAGTTGAATATTGTTTGGTAACATTATTTTATGTGCTTTATACATAAATTTTAAAATATTGTACTCAGTCAAATCATGAAGTTTCAGTATCTTCAACTGTACAAATATTGGGTCCTCACTCACCTGCTCATCATTTACCGTTCTCCTGCTCCACCATCAGGACACTTTGTTTGAGCCTTAGTCCTGCATCTGAGTTATTGTTGGCAACAAAACAACTTGTTTAACTTATGATGGTAAAAGTCGTCTATTTTCATGTCTCACTTAATGGACTGTAGTTCAGACAAGAGGAACACTGTTTGAAACTGAGATGACCCCTAATCTTCTTCACCTTCATCTTAAACATGGACTTCATTAAGTGGCTGCCAACTTACTAACTTCATACTACATGGAACAGCTCACACACATTTAAAGCACAGAGAACAGTACTCAAATCTTGATTAAAAGACTGTCAGATTAAGATGGTCTAATAGTCTCTGGTCAAAGCGGTGCTGCTGAATACTATTCAGGCCTGCCCCTCATGACTGCAGCTGGTCCAGAATGCTGCAGCTCATCCTTGAACCACACCATATAATGATCAATAGAATATTTCTAACTCAAACAGAAACGTGTGACCGTATCTCATCTGCGTTTCATGCATGGCTGCACCAGCTCCCTGTTTGTTTAATAGGATCGACAGTAAAGTTTTACTGCAGACCTATAAAATGCTCAGTGGCCAGGCTCGACGTTATGTACCTTCCAGATTACGCAGACCTAATGATTGTTTGCACTTAGCTGTTCCGAGCTCCAGGCTGGAACACAGAGGTGATCTGAGTCTCTGTGGTTGTAGAACAGCAGAACAGCTTTAGCTCTGGGTGATTTTAAGTTTCATCTTAAAACCTGCTTTCTGTAGAATAGTTTTTTTAAAATTATTATTATTCAAAATTATTATTATTATTATTATTATTATGAGAATAAAGTCATAATATTATGAGACTAAAGTCATAATATTACGAGATTAAAGTCATAATATTACGAGAAAAAATTCACAATCCTATATATTCTGATGCATCCATTTTCTGTTCCTCATTTCCTCCTTATTTTCCTCACACCTGCTGTGTACAGCCATGTCTCTGTTTATAAAGTAGTCTGTGATGACTCGGGTCACTGTTAGATTAATATGCTTTCATCCAAATTAGCTACGTGACGACTGAATCTGTCAATGCATGCTTCAGTTCATCATATAGTCGTTTGGACAATTTCCAAGCCCTGCTATTGATAATTTGATGCTAATATGCTAAAAGATTATTTATTTTACACAATACCACAGAACAACTTGACAAGTTGCTCAACATTCCTCATTTTAATGCAGTGGTAACTGCATGCTTTTTCATGTAAAGGTTAGTATTACGACTTTATACTCATAATATTATGACTTTAGTCACGTAATATTACCACTTTATTCTCATGTTATGACTTTAATCTTGTAATGTTACAACTTTATTTTCATAATATTATGATTTTGTTTTCGTACGACTTTAATGTCGTAATATTATGACTTTATTCTCGTAATAAAAAAAAATCTTGTGTGACCCTAATACTCCGTCGTATGTGACCCATCATCAGTGTATGAATGTGATTTTAAAAACACTGATTGTAGTAATCAGTCCATGTACATATGGCTGATTAACATTTGGAGTAGACATAATTCAAGATGGCCGCCACAGCCAGACCCTAGAAAACACAAAAGTGTCTACAGCTCTGTCAGTTCTACAGATGCTGAGCTGATGGTGTGGTAGTAGCTGCGAGTCATTCACAACACACTCTTGAGTGTGAGATTGTTCTTAATGTAATTTTTCGAAGTTTGACCAAAATGGATAATTTTAACGTTTCATTTCTCAACACAAGTTGATTTTAGTTTTTAAACTCTGGCATGAAAAGTCCAATCCAATGCATGCCAGGCTGTTCAAAGTTTAATATTGTTTCATTATTTCTGCCCTGCAGGTGGCAGCCTCATTACACAGAAAAACTCCAACCAGTGTCTCAAACCAAAACTATACATATTATTTCTGCAGTCTGGATTTTATAAGCACACTAGATGATGGGGCTGTAAACATAAAAGCAATGGTGTGAGGGAAATAATAAGACAAGTTTTATACTGTCCACTTAAAAGAATAATGTAAATACATGACAACATAAAGGCTCTAAATAATTTATTTAGAAGAGATAATATTTTTATGGTAACCTTTATTATTAAAACTATTTTAAGAGAGATAAGTGTGAAAACAGTAATTATAATAATATTAAGAGATGGTCCTTGTATGTGGAAAGCCATCAGTGCCAAAGATGTGTGACTTTTAATGTGACTGATGCATAAAAAACACGACTTTGCGCATACACATTTACATTTACATACACATTTATTTCTCAACACATTGTTTGACTTGCAGTTTTTGTCTGTTTACGCCCCTTTTGGTCAGCTGAACTTCCTGGTAGATTCAGTTGAGTCTCTTCTCATTGGCTGCTCTGATTTAAGACTAAACCACTTTAGCAAAAAGATGGGTTGCCTCCCACCATTCGATTCAATAATCACCTTTTTCTTCTGCTTTTAATGTTTTTTAATTTTAATGGAGTAAACTCCTACATAAACAATATTTATAGACTTACAGCAGATGTTTATATAAAGCTATTTTTAATCATATAAAATATGATGATGATGCCTTTATTGTCATTGCATGGAGCACAATGAAATTACATTTAAGAACATGATTAAACGGTTAGGCCCATATATATTTGGGTAGGGACACAAAGTTGTTGTTTTTCTTTTTACTTGTTTACCGAAACATTCAAGTTATATAATGGACATGGACATAAAGTCCAGATTTTCAGCTTTGATTTGAGGGCATCCACATTAAAATTGGATGAAGTTTTTTTTCTTAAAATGTGCAGAGATCCCTAATTGAAACGAGAAGATAAAATATTTGGTGAATCTGAGGAAATACAGTAACGGTCTGTTTTTACACGGAGCTGAGAGGTCTTTGATGCTGCGGTGAAAGATGGCTACCTAACTGCCGAAGTAATCACATCTAAGCTGAAGTCTGAGGGTGAAGAGCAAGATGTTATTATTTGTACGTTATTATCTTAGGCTGAATGTGGTCCTTGAACTGGATCAGTTTAACATCCCTCCTGGTCTAAGACTTTCAGCAGATGATAATTAATGACTTTCCCATTTTTAAGGATGGTCATTGCCCCCTCAGGCCCCCCCTTTTAAACACACTCCTGTCTTTAGGCATCCTAGCTTAAAAAGAAAATATTTTTAACATAATTTTGAGGTAAATTAGGTTATAAAAGTGGCAAACTATGACCCTCTTGCTTGCCATAGTCTCTCACATACGCGGCCATTGTTACTCATTAAAACAGTGAGAGCATTTATCTCATTTTTTTTCTCCTCGTTTCCAGCCCACTCCCTCCTCCTTCTCTTCCTCCTCCTCCTCCCATCCCCACAGCGTCTCTGTGTTTATCCCTCTGTTTTCACATGAGTCCATCCAGAACCTGGTTCTGGCCGTCTTATTTTCTGAAGATGGACACATCGTTTGTTAAAGAAATGTGCGGAATGCGGCGCTGGAAATAAAGGAGGGGGAGCGTCTTCATCGCCTGTCGGGATTCATGGAGACAACACAAGAAGAAGACAGCTCCTGTGACAAACCTGCTCCAGGTGAGACACCGTGAGGACGGTTCTGCTTTTATTACAGAGAAAAACAAAGAAAACAACAACGAAAGGCACGCGTGTTTCTTTAAAACCCCATGGAGACACCTTGTTGTAGCTCACCTGGGACACATCTCTGAGGGGGTTTTACCTTCAGCTCATTCTGGCATCAGCTACTTTACATTTGATTTATTTTTTACACTTTGTCATGTTATTTATAATGCTTTTTTAAACTGAGTTCATTACGTGTGTGTGTGTGTGTGTGTGTGTGTGTGTGTGTGTGTGTGTGTGTG